GTTACTTTCTTTAGCTTAACGGAAAAGCAGTTAAGCAGGTGAACTTCAAATACTTCTGGGTCATGTTGACTTGTGTTGGAAAATTTGATTAAGAGATCGACCGGCGAATTGGAGTAGCCAATGGCGTTCTGTGCGTTCTAACCCAAACCATTGTGTCTAAAGCAGGCTAGGTCTGTAGACTAAGCTCTTGATGTTCAAACTGATCTTCATCTCCATGCTTACCAATGGTCCTGTGTCGTGGATCATGACTGAAAAACTTCGACCCTGGTTGCTAGAGTTTGAAATGTGTCTCTTTCCCTACGCGTCTCGACATATTCCGAAGTGCAGAAATGCGCGAGAGTCTTGGTTCGCAGCCGGTGGGTCTTCAGATTGAAAAGTCACAGCTGCGATGGTTTGGCCATGAGTTGTGAACGCCTGCAGAAAAGAAGGCGAAAAAAGCTACTACTTGCCGTACCGGCTTGCAGAAGATCCCGAGGACGGAGAAAATTATCCTAGTGCAAGTGGTATCGAAGGAGATTGCGTTAGACTCCGATTATTTTCTTGCAAGCTGAGATTCTGACGCAGTGTCGGTAACGTTGGCAGCACTGGCTGACGCGTCTGCCTCCCTACCGGGAAGGACAAGCGGTTATGGAAATTGATTGATTTACTGACGAGACAGGTCGTCCCATTGGTGGACAGAGGATAAAAATTTAGCAAAGTTGTGCCTCGTTTTAGGAATTTGCGTTTAGATTTGTACAGCATACAATTCGTTTTATATCTGCAGCGCTTTGGCCTATTCTTGCAGGCTTTGGCCCATGTGACTCGCATAAGGCAGTGTTTATTTTTTAGGATTTTGCTATGTCGCAGTAAGCAGGCCATCGTGACTTTGCAGGTGTAATCGATCCGCGTGTGAAGAGTTCAATTCAGTGCTAACTGGTAAGTTTGTAATGATGATGGAGTCTGACTTCAGTACGTAGTGTTTGTGGTTCCAGACTAGTGGAACAGTTGGTTTCCCAGCGAGGACCGCTAGGAACAGGAGAAAATGTGATCCAGTGAAGTAGATGCTGTCGTGGTTAGAGTAACAGATAAGAGTATTAAACATCGCAAATGCTCAAAGACCATATTGTCATTGCTTACTTAAATGGCTCCTTAGGCAACTAGGAGCAAGTGGCGGCTCAGGGCGCCTTCAAATCTGGTCTTGAAAGAGTCATGCATTATAGAGTTGGAGATAAAAATAAAATTTTATTTACCGAAAAGTACGTACAACAAGATAGCAAATGAGCTGGTGAATTTTTATGATTTCTGAATCTCTTTGCACTGGGTCAGAAGCTTACAGTCAGCAGATAAGAAATGGAAAGCCGACTAATTCGCCATCCAGATGTAACTTCCGGTGACCTTGACATTGGTTTTTAAATTAAACTATGCAAATTTTTATGACATTTAATGGTAGTTTTACTTTTATTGTTAAGTTTGGAAGTAGTGAATGCGAGATCTGTATGAATACGGAAGAAAGTTTCGAATGAACTTGTGTCTTAATGTGACAAAACACCTGTGGGATAGGTCAGACTTGTAGATATCCCATTTGGAATTATTATACTGTATGCATAATCTCAGGGGAGCCGTTGCCCAATCAGAAAAATATTCTCTGATCACCGTGTTGACGACGCAAAGGTCGACCGCCGGGTGCAATAATTTGTGTTCATATTTCTTCTCGCTTATTGTAATTGTGTACTCGTTCCCTTGAGAGCAAAGGAGAGGTGGAGCGCGGTAAATATAAGCAGACGGCTGTTTGTGAGTGAAAAAACATCCAGTTACTTCTACGGATAATGGATTTTTCTACCGACTCAACAGTAGCAGCCCCTTCCCAACCAATAGTGGGATTAAGACTACAGGTGAAAATTTTGTCATGATCTGCCTATATAATCCACCAGAAAGTACATCCGTTTCAGGGTTAACGGCTACCGTACCGACTAAAAGGGGACACTATTCCCACCCGTACTTAACCCGATCGAGTAATTTCTTAATTTGATCATTGTCTACTTTCTGCAAGAAAGAAGCGAGGATGACTTTAGTTGCTGTTCTGGTAGCAGAGTGATTATTGGTTTCAGGTTCGTGGCTTGGCTTGGAAAAGTGTCTAATAATGATAGGGTTCTATAATAGCTTTAGTGTGAATCGACTAATCTGGAGCGCAAAAATAGTTACTACCCTGAGAATTTCATGATTAAAGAAGTGCACTTAAACCCATTATGTTCTTGCTGAGTTGCCAGTTGCGTTCTTGTATTTGTCTTCGAAGGTTGCTTGTTGTTAGTTGGATCATGCTTCCATGTGCATTCATCGAATTTGCATCGCAATAATGCATTCGAATGGTTATTCTCCTGAGGATCGTCTTTGTCCTTCCGCCTTGTCGTAAGTTTTTCGGGTAATCAGATCAGATGATTTTCGATATCCATTTGGATCCGTTCTTCCATTCGGCAGTGCTGAGCAGAAATTCTGCGATAGTGGTGGTCGTTTGGATGGCCTAAAAACGAGCCTATTTTTTATTAACTCATGTTTCTGATGGTACGACGGTATGATAGGGTCATTTCTAATTGTGAAAGCTAGTACACTGCTTCTACATTGAGTCGTTTTGGTTA